TACATATGTATGTACATACATGCATACGATTTCGCAATCCAATCAATCTGATCATAATCGCATTGTCTATGGATTGGGGTAAGCAAACAACAGGAAAAAGGGTTCCAGGTGATCCAAACGGGGTGATCTCTGATCACACCACGACCAATAATGTTCTCACGCTTCTTCGACACGCTTCTTTAGGGAAATCGCTCCTACCTAGAATTGCGGTGAGTCGAGGGGCTAATTAATACAGGACCCCGGATCCGAATCCGATACCCCGATCACCCAACCTAACCCTCCTGCTGCTTGGGCCATCCTATTGATCATCGGATTGTTTTTGCTCATTTCCTGGGCCCCGGACAATGGCTGAAGTCTGGAATAATTAACAGCCGTAACCGATTCGGAATCACAAATGGCAAATCGCAAACAGCAAATGGCAATAGCAAATAGCACCGATCCCCTCTTCAGACACTTCCTACCGATCCAGTGAATGAGCGGGGAAAACTCGATTGCATTCAGGCGGCCGCCATTCATCGATCGTGATAAATAACTGAATTAATGTGACTGCCTTTGGACAATAAATTATTAAGCTTACTGTTCAACTCACTGTAAAATGTGCTAAAATTACGCAAGTAATAAAAACATTTGCGATGCACTATCTATAAAGAAAATCATTTGAATAATGCGGAACTCTCGCACATTTGCAAAATGTCAGCAGATGAAAGATCAGCGATGAATCATTGCGATAAGTCTGAATGGTTTAATGTGAATCCTCATCATATTTTTTTTATATCTGACTAGATGATGAACGAAAAAACAAGACATTTTTTCAAAAAAAAGATCACCAAAATTAGTCATTAATTTCAAAATTATTAGGAAAGATAAAACAGTCGAAAATCAACAAATCAAACTTTCCTTGCTCGAAATTTCTACATCTTGCACAAAACTACTAAACTATTTTATTAAATTTTTGTCTCTGTAAGTCAAATTTAACTCACACCATTATTTATGCTTCCGTTAGCCAAATTTTGCCATAAAAAGATTTTTTCGCAGGCCGTTAATAAAGAATTTATAAATTAATTTACGGTTATATGAATCAATAAGTCTTATTGACTTGTCAAGAATTCTTTTGCTAAATTGTACAATCGGTTTGTTAATACCAAAACGAAACGTTTGCAGAATTCATGCTCAGAATAATTATTACAAGTATTTTTTATTGCAAATTGTAATGTCAGTTTTAAATTTTGTCAATTGGATTCTTTAAAACTTAATAGTTAAGAGGCATTTGAAATTGAATTCTTTGCTGAGTTGTACAATATGTTTACTAATATCGAAACGACAAATTCTCAGAATTCCTTGCAATGTAATTTTTTGAAAAATTGTTTGAATTTTCAAATTTTGTAAACGGTTTGTTTTCAACAATTATTGTTGGAGGCATTGGAAACAAAATATTTGCACAATTTTGAAATTATGTACATCGAAATGTAAATACTTTGGAGGCCAAATCGTACGGCTATATTCAAAATTTCGTTCGGTGCATGATGATCGCTGGGACAAATGTAGGTCAGAATGTGACTGAAACATTCCGGCAACGGCATTATCATCTCAACCCGCTCACGCCCAACAATCACATCGATTTATAGTAAATTCCTGCACTTCAAATCCCAGTCCGAATCTGATGGATGCATTGCGATTAGTTGGAAGACGAGGCCTGGATTTTGGGGTCGCCCTTCCGTCTTTCGATTAGATTGTGGGACGGCGGCACCTCCGATTGCATCAGGTTAACCCCAGAGGCACTTACCCGCGGAGCTGCCCACGATCAGTAGGAGTCCGGCAATTAGTAGAGCTCGTCTGGACATCATTTTGATATTTCTTATAGAAGGTACGGCGGAGTGCACTCGCCGCCGATCGGTGCTCAAATAGATTTGTATCCAATGGGTTGCGATTTCGGTTTTTGTTCGATCGGAGATCTGTGTCACTCGGGCCAATTGTTTTGTGGTGATCTTTTTGGTTTTGGTTTTTTTTTTTTTTTTTTTAAATTATTGCCGCGTAATTATGTTGACGTTTAAGCGTTCCAGTTTCCGGCTAGCACAGTCAGCACTTTCCTTTATTTATTTTTTCTTTTGATTCTTCAACTCGCTCACACACAAGACAAATGGTTTTTGGCTCTGATATATTTCAGATTTTTCTTTTTGTACTTTAAATTTTCAAAATTCCGTTAACCGTCCGTTCGGATCAACAGAAAAACGAGAAATGGGCAGCGGTTTTTGGTTGTTTGGCATGTCGGCTTGTCTGGTTGCCTCCACCACCTTCGAAAGAGATAGCCAAAGAGAGTGTGGCTGGCCTGAAGAGAGGGCGTTAAGAGAGCGTAGATTATGTGGCGCGAAATAATTTTATTTAAAAACATGCTTTTCGAAGGGGTTGTATTTATAGAAGAAAGCATTTCCTGGCCATAAATATGAATTAACGGATGTGGACCGTTGAAAGTGTGGATTGTGCATAAAAAGCTAAAAAAAATATATGTATATGTTGAACCCTTTGAACAAGCCCCAATTAAGTTAAAATGAAGTAGCGAAATACAACTTCATTATGCCACATGCTCGGGCTAAATTCCATTAATTGCTGAAACAGCACATGTCTTTCTCTCACCCTTTCTCAAGTTGCAGTCCAAGATTCGCGGAAATTTATTTGCATCCCCCGGAGACAATTCGCTTGATGCAATTGCGGCATTTTCTCAGGCCGCCAATAAAGTCTGAATCGGCCTGGGAAGTCGTGATTTCCTTGATTTCCAAGGCGCACTGGTAATAGTACCATAGTATCCCCATGTTCCCGGAGTTTCTCCATTACTCTTTCTGCTTTTCTGCCTTTTTGCCTGCGTCTGACGTGATGACGCCTACATCGGCTGAGATACAGATACTTGGATACTCGGATACTCGGATACTTGGATACTGGGATACTTGGCGCAACAGATGCAGATACGATTTATGAGTGCGACAGCGACCGCATTAAATGTAGATACATGCAACATTTGCACTGTACAAACAAACAAACAAACAATTAAAATTAATCTACGAGCATAAAACAAAGTGCATTGCATTATGGATCTTGCACAGATAGATCTCTTTGAGTCTGTGTGTGCGATGCACTGGGCGACAACAAGGTAAGGATCTTGATCTATTACAGATAAAGCATAATTTTCATAACTAATTTGGATTGAATTTGAAAGTTAATTTTATACTTTATCAATTGTCCCTTTTATTTTAGAAAACCAATGCTATTTAAATATTGATTGCTTTATTTAATAAGCACGATTTTAATAGGATTTCATTATTGGCTTTTGACATGTCGCATTAGTCAGCACGTTTTGCTAAAAATGAAATTTAGCAGACTTTATAAGCCTCGAAAAAATTAATCCAACCTATTATTGCACTGGTTCAAAATTGCAAGCAAACTGTTTGGGTGATAAAGTCAAGCTCACAAAGTATTTTTTATTACCTGCTTTGATTTTCAACTAATTTCAGTGTCTTATAATTCTAAGAATGTTTTGTGTTCAGTGTGAGCGCTGCAATGTTTGCGTTGTCGTCTTTTTTGGGTGCCAAGCTTGTAAACATCCGCAAATTTAGAACAATTCCTAGGGGCTTCAGATTTGGATTCTGTGCGGTGAAAAAAGGGAATGGGAATAAAAAGGGGATGATTGAATGGGCGTGGATATTAATCAAATATTTATATTTACACACACCAGTGTGTTGGCACTGGAATGCATTCGTAGAATTTCCGAGAATTCGTTTCTTTTGAAAACAAATTAATCAAACAACAAGGGCGACAACAACAAAGTTAAAAGCCAGCAGAAGACTGGAAGAATAGAATGCTGACAGCATGAAAATGTGAGACTTCTAATGCAATCGCTTGGGAAATTGAAATGTTCCAAGAGCCGCGCAGACTCCCTGATCCATAAGCTTAAGAGAAGGTTGTGAGAGTTTCCACTCTCTTAGGCAGTTGGCAACGCGGAAAATCGTTGTGGGTGGGAGTGGGATAGGTAGATTGCACCAACTGCAAGGGAATGCTGGAAAGTGGAATTGACCTAGGCTCTCTCTTTCGCCTTCGGTCCTGTCCTGCCTAGTTGCAAATTGGAATTTCATAGTTCAGCTATTGCGACGCATTTCAGGATTTCCAATTGGGCACTCCTGCGACTGTGCAACATGAGTCATCTGCTCTCCGCCGCGCCTTCGGGCATTTAGTTATTCGGATATTATGCTCACTCTCTTCCTCCTTTTCGTCCATTCTAGAGCACAAGCAAGTACAGCGGAGCTTCCATAACTGGCACATCGGTTTTCGAAAAATTAAACCAAACCAAAAAATATTTGGCGTTCCAAAACCTCTTTTAAGATGTTCAAAATTGGGTCGTTCCATTCTTTATTCCAGGGTGGTGAGTATTAAAAAGCCTAAAGAATTTCCTTTCATTTATTTTATATATCGTTTAAAACTTGAAATTTTTTATAACAAATTTTAACTATCTAATACAAACTAGAGTTATTAAGTAATTAACTTTTAATTAAACTATTCTTTATTTATCATTCTTACAATGTTATTTAACAATATTGGTAAACTTATGGTTTGCTTATTTTATATCTTAAATTACATAAAATTAGTCTTAGATATTCTTTTTGGAAAATTGTTTTTTCAAGTTGTCAATACAATTGTTGGGTTGTTTTTTTTTAATCAACAATCAAGAATATCAAATATCTTTTTCAAACATTTCATATTTTGCTAACTTAAAACCTTTGATGTAGTTTATTTAAATATTTGAATACATAGGTTCAATACATATTTTTTGATTTTGAATAGCACAAAAAATGAAACAACAGTGCCGGAGTCAAACACTTACTGTTTACTTTCAACCCACTTTTATATCATATTAGCTCAGTTTTAAGCATGTGCTGTAAGAGCATAAGGTTTCGTTAAGATGTACCACTGTACCTGGAATCCCTCCGTCGGCATTCGCAATCGCACTACATATTTCCCACTGACAGTCCTCGACGAACAACAGAATCGAAAACGACAGCCCACGCAAAGGGGCAGCAAACACACACAAAAAGCCTTAGCGACAAAAACAAAGTTCAGTGTCTCGGTCGCCGTTTATCCTCGAAGTTGGCAAAAAGCGAACGGGTTCTGCAACCGCTGAAATACAGAAACACCGAAAGGCGAAAAGGATTTCAAGGAGTGGAGATTGGCACACCATACCTTACTCCCCTTTTAATCATAAACAAGCGATCGAAATGAGGCATCTCTGGCTGCTGCTCCTTATCGCCTGTGGATCTGTCCAGTTTCCAGGTAAAAATCGGTTGCATCTCTCACATCTTTTGCCGCATGTTTTGAGATCCATTAAAACAGACAAATTAATTTTCGACTCAATTTGTAATCTTTATGTGCAGTGGATTTTTTTTAGGAAACATATGCGGGTTCCATGTAAGAAATAGAGGCCCCTCAATGGCTTAATTTTCTCAAGGCGCACAAAGAAATACTTATAAATTTCTTGTTTGCTTGCTGTTTCGTTTAACCCACTCATGAACGCTAATTTGCATAATCTAGAGATTATAATCCTGGGGAAAATGTCTGCGGCACTTGTGTTGGTGTATGAGTTGCAGGCGCTCAAATAATCGATGGATTACATTGCACTTACCCCCGTTTTTTTCCGCTGACCCAAAAAGCAGAATCTTCACATAGCGGGGAACGCCAGCTCATTTAAATTATTCACAACTCTCTCCTTAAATAATTGCAAGGAAAAGAATTTCAATGCATCATTGCGGTTAACAATAATATATTCAACTATTAAGTATCCGTTAAAGAATATGATTCAGCGAAAAAAATAGGAATAAATTATTGAATATTAATATTCCCGAAATTCCCAAACATTAAATGATTCATAGATATCGTTTCAATAGGTATATACAAAAAAAGAAAGAATAAAAATTAGTCATATTAATTTATAAAAAACATAAGAAATTTCATACACTCGTAATACACACATATCATTGTATACTAGCTAAATGGTTAGGTATTCAGCAGAGGTTGCATTTTCGCCATCCCCACATGGAACCGGCTCCAAACTCCATAAAACACTTGTCTGCCACCAAAAACTATCAAAGCAAAAGTGCTTCATAGGGTCGCCACGTTTATGGCAAAGTTTTCCTTAAACGCTCACTGGGAGTTATTAAAGGGGGCGGGTATGAAGTGGGCAAATTGGGGAAGGGCCAGGGGGAGGGGCCGGTTGGTGGAAGAACGTGTGTCATTCATTGAATTGACGACAATTTGGGAACCACTTGTAAGCAGGGCATGTCTTGAAGATGAAGATGGTACACAGCGCGAAAACATGGAATCATCAGCTATAATTGCTTTTGTATAAAATATTTTTATCAGGTTTATCGATCATAAAATATCTTATTTATTTTATGATCTTTGATCTTATTAATTTCTCTCAAATTTCGTCAAAATCTGATTTACTTAAAGTGTAAGTAAGCTAATTTGTTAACGATAAAACAACATTTTTCAGACCGGAAATATGTTTCAGGAGTAAGCATCCTTAAAATAACCGTGGTCTGTAAGAAACAACATTATTTAATATTATTGATGAGTAAATAGTAAAATGCATTTTTCTGTGCGTGTACGAGCGTTGTGTAGTGCTTCCAAATAGAGAAATTAGTGGAACAGTAAATGAAAAGGGTGGCTGGGGTATGGGGAGAAATGAGCACATTGTTAAAAATATCAACATGATTAAAGTGGCTCTTGAATAATTAAGCAACTGGGAGTGGGTCTGTGGAGCTGTGGTAGATGAGCTGTCAAAGGGAACAGAATACGCGAGGTAATTGTCGTATCATGCGTGCGTTCCAGGGTTATTTGTGCGGCTTATCGATATTAATTATAATACGGAGAGGACAACAGAAGCGTGGGATTGAATGGGTCTGTCATATGAATGGACAGTTTCCCTTAAACGACTGTGCCTTAACTTTCTACAAACACTTAAGGCGCTTGACCCTGAAAAGTTTATAAAAGTTTCGGGCAGTAAAACATACAAATTTAATTTTAGGTTGGTCTTGACCTTTTATAATAATATATATATTTTTTAAATTTATAATATGGTTTGAAAGTTCGTTTTTTTTTTTATTTTGAAGTAAATATGGTTAATGTAATAAAAAATAGTTTTGACACTTGTTATATTTATCTGAATATTTATATTAAACTATTATAGTTGTTTATTTTCTGGTTAAAGAGTGAGAGCCCAAAAATACATTTAAAGCTTTAGATATGATAAATTCAGGGGGCGTATTCATGATGAGCAATATTTATGAAAACAAAAATAAAAATTTTATTTTGATTAAATTTAAGTTTTCAAATGGGATGCGAAAAGTTTCCAAGTTCTTACTTATCTTTTGGGTACGCCCCTATATCTTGACTTTTCTGCAATTTTAATGACCGCTTTAATATTGGTACACTCTTTTGTGGCATACTTTTGGGCTATGAAACTCCCCTGGGTTCACACTGAGCTACAAGTAATAAATTAAACATGATCCGTATTGTTTTTATGATTCAGAACGATAAAATCATCCCCATTTCCCGATGACCCCATTCGTATTTTCACGAAAAACACAAGGTGGTAACTACGCCAAGGCTAAGAAAGGTGTCCCGACATATCTGCCGATGTCTTTTCATTTTTCCTAACGAGAGTGTAAACAAAACTAATAACTTTGGCACACACACACACACACACACACCTACACCCGCCTCACATAAACCCACGAATATCTGGTAAATTGGCAATTTTCGCAGCCATTAAGCAATGCGCTAAACGTGCAAATGACGCAACCAAAGTGATGTACATATATCCTTGAGCCAAATCCAGATACATATATGTATATATTCGCTGAAATATCGAGTGTGTGCCTTGCATATGCTGAGTACTCCCGAAAAGAATTTCATTCCGTGACCTGACCTCCAGCAGGAGTTGTAACCATCATATCACTCCAGAATGGGCGTTGACACGCTCCCTGGGAAAATATAAAAAAGGGGCTTGGCTTGGCGGCATAATCCGTATTCCGTTAATGGTTTTATGTTGCCTTCCGCCGTCTTTGGGGCTTAGGCTGGCTTCGAAACTATAGCCAAACACGGAAATCTGGCCCAGTACCTTCTCGAGTGCTTTTCAATGCATACACGGCAACAAAATTGATATGATATGCTAATCGTTTTCATGGTTACTCACAAAATTGTCATTTTAAAAAATAATTAAAATCAAACTTTAATTAAACAATTTTAAGATGACAGTTTTTTGGTTTAAAGCAACAGAACAGAACCAATTTAACTCCCTTGGTTTATTTATTTTGTACAAAATACGAAAACAAAGCTTTTGTTGGGGGCATTGAAACATTCTCGTTTTGCTAATTTTTGTTGTCCTACATTTTTACTCACCTTGCAAACAGAAGCTCGATTGATATATCAAAAAAGAATATATCAATTAGATCAAATATTTTAATAGAGCCCCTTACTATACGTAGCACTACCAGTATAAAAAAATAAAAGAAGAACAATTAAAAAGAAATATAAGAAAAATAAAAAACAAAAAAAATTTTTTGTTAAATTTATATTGAGTTTTTTTTTTAGCTGTGCAGCATTAGGTGCGTGTGTGTGGAGCCAAAACTAATTAAAATCTATTCCAGGTGTGCTGACCTTGCCGGAGGCACTCCCAGCCAAATCTTCAACAACCGCTGGAGGCGGCAATGGGGGAGGAGCTGGAGGAGGAGCCACTGCCACATCAGCTGGAGACACCGACTACAGTGAGTACGATGAGGAGGAGCAGCAGCGGGCTCCAGGAAATCTGGCCAAAACCACGGCAGGTCCCAAAATCCCCGATCCCTACTTCGAGCAGACAGACGTTAACTTCTATGTGCCGATAAACACGACCAGTGTGAAGCTGGACTGCCCTGTGAAGAACTACAACGGTAGGTTTGACAAATAACACAATTATTAAAAAAAATGGCTTAAAAACGAAGTCCAAAATTGCCCACAAATCGGATCTTTTTTTTTTTGTTAATTTAATATGTATTGTTCTGAGTAGGTTTTCTAGGTTTTTAAACCAAATTTAACTTATTTGGTAAAAGAGTGTACTTATTAAGTTGTTGTCTGCATTTAGGATTTTTGACTCTATTAACATAAGGTATTTTTTTGGTAAAAGTTAATAATTTATTATACTACAAAAGTTTTCTAAATGATATAAATATGAACATGTCTCAGAACATTTTTTTTTTGCTGAAAATTTGCAAACAAAATATTGATTTTTGTCGTTTATTAAAGCACAACATCACGTGATTCTCTGGTACAAGGAAAAAGTGCTCGTCTCCAGCGGTCGAAACATATTCAACAAGATCTACAGTCTGGACAGCCATTTCGCCCTGACCGTGCCCCTGGCGTCCAATGCCACGGAGGAGCGGTACGAGTGCAGCGTACTCCCCAATGCGCGACGCCAGGTGACCATTCGCTTTGGACCGGAGCCAAGCACCCCGGCTCCGGCTTCAGTTCCGGCCTCGGCGGATACCTCCTCGACCGGCAAGGATGCGGCGCCTCACGGACGGGACATTAGCCTCTGGCTGCTCAGCCTGCTCTTGGCCGCTCTCCAACTGGCAGTGTCCTTCCGTTTCTGAAGCGGGCCAAGTTCAAGAGCGCTCTAAAAATCTGCACCACCGGCATTACGTTTGGAGATGCGCACCGCAACAGATGAGCTTGACATTGGAATGTGTCCCCGGGGTCACAGACGATTGCGATCCGAGGCAATCGATGGCTTGGCAAATTTAGTTAGGTGTTGCTTTGTTACTGTATTATATAGGAAATCGAACTTTTGGGGGAAGCGAACTTCCTCAAGCTATAGATTGTTTGAATTACACTTCCAATTCTGCTTCCCTTACTTCCAATATCGATGTTTTTTGGACTCCTTTGAAATATTATATTATTGTTTGTAAACCAGAAAATTGAATTTAGAAACGCTGTCTATAGTATCGAATTAGCCTAGTGTGATTGCTTTAGTCTTGCGCTTAATGAGTCGAGAGATTAGAACATAGTTGATTTTAACTTAGCGGAACAAAATGCGATACCAAGTGGCTTAACGAATCATTGTGAAGGATACTATATATACATAATATATATAAAAACAGATTATGAAACCATAAGAACGATGTATGCAATTTTGTCGGATGTAAAACTGAAATAAACTAGAGCTGCTATAGACCCAGCTGAATCCATTCAACGAAATCCACCCCTATATGATGGCCGACAGGATTTTTGGTAGTGGGAGGGGGTAAAACACACGCGCGACAAGGACAACAAAGCGCTGAGGTCCTTACAATGCAGCTGCATTTCGGTGGAGGAGGAATTCCGCAATGTGCGCAGGGCCTGGCGGCCATATGGTGGCTCCTAAGGGTGGTGCTAACGGTGGTGGTGGTGGCACAAGCCTCAAGCGAGAACTTTAGTTTCCGGCTCAGTCTTCAACTGCAAAGCGGCCGGGACACACAGCTAGTCAGCGGAATAAATCAGCGCCTTTACGAACAGCAAAGGTAAGTTCCGTCGATTAGTTTTATTGAAGAAAATCACAGTAAGTTCCCCATCCTTCAGATGATACCGCAAAACGAGAATCCCGCTATCATCCTGGATGATACTTACGTTGAGGAACACCAGTTCTCTGATCATTGTGGCCAGAGTCTTTGTGGCCAGGCACAAACTGCTTTTGAGGTCTACCAAAGAATCCTGCATCGATTACAAAATCATCCACACGAGAACCCCACAAAAGCTAGTGAAAGCGATCTGATGAAGCAAATTTGGCTTGCCAGCTTTACGGGAAGGCCAATACAATATAATTGTTAGTTCGAGAAGCCCACCAATTGCAATAACTTTGTTACATATATAAAAATAAATTAAAATCCTAGAAAACCGTATCCAAAATACCCAAAAGTGGATCTTTAATATTTACAATCCCTACAAGTAAATAACAAAAGAAGATTTTCATTTTTAAACCTTTATTTATTTGTCCTTAATTTAAACTCAATATCACTAAAATGTTAAACTACTTACCCATCGGTTGATGTAAATCAAAATTGTGTTAGGAAAAAATGTGAAATATTTTAGTTATGCAGCAACTTTTATTGTTTATTCAATTTTCTTTTTTTTTTGTTTATAAATTCATAATGGTTTATTAACTTATTTTCAAGCGCCTTTTGATATCTTGATACCCAAAATGGATTGTGATCTGCACTTATTTTCTTTTTATAGAACAATGAGATTTTTCATTCCGTTTTTATTAATTCACTAATTTATTTGAATGTACTGCTAGTGACATATGTGTCTAAATACGTATGCATATATTGATTGTAAAGGGGAGGATCGGGTAATTCAATCGGTTCGATTATAGTTGGATCTGTTGGAACAGTATTTATTAAATTTATTGATTGCGTTTTATTTTATTACACATATTGAGAATCAGAAAATTTCGAACTCAGGAAATCATTTATTTAACATAATAGTATATATTGGGCTTATGTGATCTGTTGACATGGTTCAGAAGTCTCGCCTAGGCCTGAAGACTTTGTCCTGCACGCCAACAGTTCGAACATGTAGGTTTATGCGATTTTAAATTAAGATTAATATTATGTTCTTGGGAATTGATAGCGCAAGTGCGCGTTTTTATAAATATTATTTGTTAATAGCATCATTTTAAATGCTGCTTTCTTCTTGTTAGACCAAGAACAATTTCAATTTTAAGTATATTCATTGTGTACCCATTATGGGTTTTATAACATAAACATCGTCCTTAGTTATCATTTATAGCGGTGTGTGGCGCAGCTCGGTACTATTATTTATATTTTTTGAGTATGGTATACGGATTGGGCTTATAGGACTTGATGGGCGGTTCGCGCATACGTTTCATGTCAGTCGGATATGGACGTTTATATGCCGCTGCGTTTGTTGGTATTATTGATGGACGTGCTATAAAATTGGTTCATTATTATTTTTAGTAAGTTACGTTGCGTGTATCAATCATTACTATATAAAAAAGTTGTTTGTTATTTTAAATAAATCATTACAAAGTATTACATACTTTTGCATTAATAAGTTCTTGTTCATTTATTGGTATTGGTAATGATACTCTACAAGCTTGCCCAAGGAATCCCAACCAAAGTGCAACCCACAAGACTTGGGGAGTGCGTGGAAGGTAAGAGTCGATTTTATATAATAGACCCCGGCTCTACGAATCTACGGCTGAAAGAATTAGAAAGGCATGCAAGGGCTCCACTTACGTTTGCTGTACTCATAGCCCGTGGGTGCACGCTTGGGGGGCATACGGTGCTCATACTCGTAGGCCACCTCCTCCGCCTCATCGACTCTATAAGGAATAACAATGTTAGTTGGCATATCAACGCACGTTGGCTAGGGTTCAAGGCACTAATCAGACGCGGGGACGCTTTGGTCCTTTGTTCCTGGTGGGGTCATTAAATGATACAAAATTATACTTTACAAGTAACTTACTCGGGCGGATTTTCCGCAGCGCGCTTGATCAGATTTATGTATTTGGGGGCCCCGTTGCTGCTGCCTCCAAGCTTCTTGTCGAAGACAGATCTGTAATTTACATTTTAACTTAGATACCTGTTCCCTATCTGAAGCCTCTGTATACCATCTACTCTACTTTTAGAAAAGTCTTTGTTTCTAGATTAAATTATTAGCCGAGTATTTAATAAACAGTTTATTTAGTTTTCAACTTTGCCTTTTTTAATAATGTCTATACTCAAATTTGAGTTATATTAATGAATAACAATTCCAGGTGCATTTAGGACCAGGATAAGTAAGGCACTTCGGTATACAGAGGTTAATTAGAATGTCCTCTTACCTGTAGGCCTCCAGGTTGGGCCCATGTATGCTCTTGGCCAACTCGGGATCCATTTTGATCAGCTCGCGCATCTGGTCGTGTGAAACCTCGTCGTTCTTGTCTGGAATTAGATACTTACGGATCTCGGCCAAGGCGTAGGCTATACGGGCGTAGCACTCCGCCGGCGTGGCCACCGTGCTGACCTCCAGGAAGAGGTCCTTCTGCAGATGGGCATACCTCGGATCGCCCGAGCTGCGCAGCTGCTCCTCTTTATTTCGATCCCGGATCGAACTGCGTCCCTTGATGGCTATCTTACATTGGGTCTCCTCTTGAAGACGACGCAGTGAATTGCCCTTGGGTCCCAGAATCTTGCCAGTGAAGTTGAACTGTGAGGAGGTGTTAGGGATTAACACTTGGGACTTGGGAGCACCCATATATTGACCCACCTTCGGATACTGCTTGACGGGCACGAACACCTTTTGGGTTATCTTCATCGGCTTCTGTTTGTACACATCTGCGTAGAACTCCTTGCCGGGAATGCGACCAGTGCAGTAGACTCGGTCCACAGCTGCAAAGTGCGGATTGTTACATTATTGTGCACTTTTATGCTGCCAAATGGATTTTACCCTCGTCGATCAGCAGCGCGCATAGTGGGAACTCTGCGGACAAACGCTGGCGCTCCTCGTCCAAGTCGGCCAGAAACTTTTGGGCCACCTCATTCAGACGCGGCTGATGGTCATGAGTTGCGGGCTTCTCAGTAAATTCGCTTGGAGGTTCCATTTTTATCATTCAAATATTAAAGGAACTTTTCTCAACCGAAACACACACAGTCTGAAAAACTGTATCTATAACAGTGCTCAAAATGGCCGCAGGGCTGTCAAACGTTTCGAATTTCAGGGCTGTCGAGCTTTTCAGACCGATACTTATTTAGTGACAATATGATAAAGCCAAAATATATAAAATATAAATAATATTTAAAGCTTGTAAACCAGCTTATTCAAACAATATAAAAAAAAATGTCAATAAAATTTAATATATATTATTTTTATATTAGCGCAAACTTTAAAATTATTAAGAACTAGCTATTTGGAACATTTTAAGTTTTCGTCTGTTTTTCAATTTATTTGAATAGCCGAACAAAAATAAAGAATCTATAAATGCAATGCTGGAGCGCTGGAGCCCTCGCAGTTTGTTCTTAGGAAAACTGGGAAAACTAGCTATAAAAAAGCTAAGACCGCCAGGATTTCAGAGTTGCCAGCCTTTCACTATCGATATTTTTGGCGGTTAATGTGTTGCTCATCCCTAAAATTGTAGCTCGTATTATTTTTTTGTGATAAACAATGGCCAGCGAAGACTTATTTGCGCACGAATTCTCGGAAGAACACGATCTCGAACTGGAACAGGCCATGGAGACGGAGGCAGACGAACCAGGGGAAACCGAGGAACCCCCCGAAGTTGTAGACGAAACACCAGACAGTCCTCCAGAGGAAACGACCACAGAACCCCATGCAGACAAGCCGGGTAAATAATAAACACCCAAAAAATAGTATAATGCCTCAATAGTTGATCTATCAGTAACAGTAACGAATGGCCACAAACCTTCTGTCGATCACGAGGCCAAGATGACACAACTTCCCTTGGCCAGGATACGGAACATAATGAAACTGGATCCAGATTTGCAAGTGGCCACAAATGAAGCTGTGTTTACGGTGGCCAAAGCCGTGGAATTGTTCATCGCCTCACTGTCCCGCGAATCTTATACGTATACCGCTCAGTCCAAGAAGAAAACCATTCAAAAGAGGGACGTGGAAATGGCCATATCAGCTGTGGACAGCCTGATGTTCCTAGATGGTGCCATGAACTTTTGAACTCTCTGTTGGGAAACGCCAAAGATATAACCCAAGCAATGTCTAACTAATGAAACAGGATTCGTCGATTATTATTTTCTTTATTTTTGGGATATTTTTGCGGCAAACACATTTAGTTCTAATCGGCCTATTGGTTAAATGTTAAAAATAATATTTAAGTTATAAAACAATTGTTGATTCGCAAGAACAAACAAAATAAAGAGAAATCATAATCATAAACGACAACGTTGAACGTTTCACAATACTCGTTTCTCGTGGGAATTTATAACGAAGCCGGCATTAGGTTAATTTTTGTACTGCTGCTATTTGTTGTTAATTCGTCTGACCGCAAAAAATACTTACTTTGTCGTTGGGCATATATCTGGGGTTTATTTGCTGCTTTTATTGCTGGTTTTATCTCCATAATCTTATGAAACAATATTTCCAAAGCTTAGTCTAACATTACGGATTGATTAATTAATTGTTTTGGGGATTTTTGTTTGTGTTTTGTTCTCTTTTTTTTTGTATTCGCTTTAACTAGCTTTCATTGGTTTTAAGTTTTTGTTTTATTTTAACAATGTTTTCGAGGATAAAATTTGTTGCATTGATGATTTCATTTTTAACACAATTCAAATATTGGACAACAATTGCAATAAAAAGTTACGTTTTTCATTTGATTTTTGTTTAGATAGTATATTTAATAGGTGTGCATAGTTGGATTGTTGACTTTAAACATTTTTGATAATTTGTTTGGAATATATTTTATACTTTGCTTAACTTTGTTTAGTTGTGGTTGTAGTTGTTGTTGTTGGGGTTGTTGTTGTTGTTGGTTTCTTGGGATTTTGGTAAATCGATGGGTTAACGTATTTTGGGATATGGAGCCGAGCGATAACGCACGCTTTCACGAGATCGGGATCCAGTTTCGTAGTGAGCAGATGAATGTGATCCCGAGCCCGAGGTTGTTGGTCGATATGACGATGATGAACGACCATTGCTTGGTTTTGCTATTTTGGAAAGAATTTTATTTGTTGTTTAGATTTTAAATTGTTTTTGTCTCTGTGGTGCTGTTTTTTGGTTTTGTTTTTTGTTTGCTTAACATATATACATTGTAAAAAAAGAAAAATAAGTTGTTTAACCGGTTTTGAATGCACTACACCCTACGAAAAGTTCTTCTATTGATTGAAATGCATTTTCCACGTTAAAAAAAAATGTTTTTCACAAACCTTCCAGTTTGGAATTTATTTAAAAACATGTTTTACGAATATTTATTGCGTTTTGTGGCATGAAGTTTTATGAATTTGTTTTCAAAGTGTGAATTTAAGTAATTTGGTTGTTTAGTCGATATTGTTTTATTTGTTGCTCTCGCTTCTTGTGAGTATGTTAGTAGTCGTCCAATTAATGAAGATGATTAAATTGTCGCTGTACGCTTTAGTTGAGCTCGCCTCTGTTCAGGCATAGTGCATTTAAAATCTTGTTAAAATGGGATGGGTTGCCGTTTATCATAATTTTGGTACGCGGTTTGGTGACGATTTCTGTATTTTGCGTTTTCAATTTTCGTCGCTTAGTTTGGATATTTTTTGTTTTGCGTTCGAGTTTTTTCTTTGATTTGCGCGTTTTGAGTTTAAACGATTACATTGCTATTTGTCGCTTTCTTTTTCTTTTTCTTCTTTTTTTTTTCTTTTTTCATTTTGTTTATTTTTACATGCCTGCTGAGGGAAGAGATTAATAGGTCTAGATCGCTAGATATCTTACCTGGATAGGCCGCCGCGTAGGAAGAAGAGGACGAGTGGGGGTGATACTCACGCCGGTAGTCGCGCTCGTAGGAGCTGCTGTCATACTGGGCGTGGTGGGTCGAGTGCTTGGATGTCTGGGGCGGCGGTGTGGCATAGCGATCGTATTCCCCGTGGTGGTCGTAAAGCTCATGGTCCCTGGATCTACTGCAAATAGTACAGCATTAAAAGAAAGGTCCTGAACCTTTACATAGTATTGCAGAGAAATGATAGTCTATTGCCTGGGAACCTATTTTATTACTTAATAAAAATCTGCCTATTTTAGTTCGTCTCTAAAAATCCAGCACTGCCAAATGGTTCTAGTCGATAAGCCATCCGATTATGTATGATTTAAGAAAATAAAATCATTCAATCTTATTTGTACTGAACAAACCAATGAGAGCTAAACGATTTAATAAACTGATATAAAACACACTTTCTATAAATATTTAATGACTTTTGAAGCTGTTTGCTTATAACGTTAAGGTCGGATGATTCCAATGAATTTTGTATGGTAATCCTCTCGATATTATCTCATTAATGGGGCTTGATCAAAATGAGAGGCTAGTTGGATTCAGCTGGTGATCCTGACCATGAATATAAAGTCTAATAGCGTTTGGATCTGCCCCCTCTGTAACGGCCTCTAAATGGATTATTAACTTGATTTAACTTATCCAACCTGTGTGTCTTGACAATGCCATAGTTGGGATCGTCCATCACGTATCGTGCCTTCTCCAGAATCGAGTAAACTTTGGGCTTGGAGGAAGCAGGAGGTGGAGTGCTGTGACGAGACGAAATCCTCAGTATCCGATTTAAAACAAGAACAAAGAGCATAAGAGCTTACCGAGAACTGTAGGCTCCATGATCGCCGTACGACTTGGAATAGTGATGAGATTTCTTGTACATGCGCTCCTTGCCGTCCATCTCGCGCAGTTGCTCCAGCCGAATGTCGTCGTTGGCATCGGGTATCATGAATTTCCGGATCTCGCCCAGCGCGTAGCTGATCCTGTGATAGGCCTCCGCCGGAGGGGCCACCGTGGATATCTCCACGTGCAGATCCCTGCTAAGATGGGCGTACTTTGGGTTACCGGAGCTGCGCAGCTCCTCCTCCTTTCCATGGTCGCGCATCGAGTTACGTCCCATCACAACCATCTTGCACATGGTCTCCTCCTGCAGCTGGCGCAGCGTGTTGCCCTTAGGGCCAAGGATCTTGCCAACAAAATTGAACTTGGGATACTCCTTGATCGGGAATAGCACCTTTTGGGCCACGCGGATCGGCTTTTCGCTGTACACGTTGGCATATATCTCGGGCTTGGGTATGCGGCCGCTGACTAAGATCTTCTCCACCTCTGCGGGGTCGTGAAAAATCGATTAGCTCCGCTTAAGTAGGTCTTACGTGTCCCAGGTTCAAACTTACCGTCGTCGAGCAGCCGCTTGGTGATGATGTGCTTCTTTTCGAGCGTCTTCTTCTCCAGCAAGCACTCCTGCAGGTAGGCGTTCGTCTTCTCGTTCAACTGGGGTGTGTCTCGGAGCGCGGCGTGGCTGGTGGTGTGTCCGCCGCCGTCCGCCTCCGGAGTCTCCGGAGCACCGGTCGCCGCTGGCTCCTCGTCGCGTCGCTTCCGCTTATAGTCGGCGGCGTCCTCGTTGTAGTCCCTGTCGTAGTCGCGCGGCATTCCGGCTTAGGCAATTTCTGGCCTGGTGGAAGTGTAAGTTCAATGAATACCACTAGGTGGAAAAAATTCTACTCCTGCAGAATTTGTTGGCTGAAAAAATATGTATGTGGTAGCACGGTTTCGATAGCACCGCGGTTTGGTAGTGATGGGAGACGGGCTATCGATTACATTCGATAGACAAATACTTAATCGAGCTGCGGTTGTAGCTAAAAATGTATGTATTATAGCCTGATTCCATTGCCGCATTAGTGGACTTTTTAAATGTGCCTGATTCCATTGCCGCATTAGCATTTATTTAATGCTACTCCGACATGTGAGTGGCACGAACAGCTGATCTGGGCTTGTTTACTTTTGAATTTTGCCAAATCCAAAAGAAATTATTTAAAATTAATGAACTTGAGTGAATTTACTAAACTCTGTAATGCTCAGCAGGACATCCATATTGCGACCGAGCCATTTGCCAACTTGGACGACAATGAAGAGAAGCTGATTGCGTTGTTATGACGGGTTTGCAATGGAGACCACCACAGTTTCTAAAAGGGCAAGGATCCCTGTATATGTGGGAGTTATTCTATGCCAGAGATTCAGCAGTAATTCATTGTGGTACTGCGAGCAGAATTTGCAGCGTGCGCTCTAGGTTTCAGTCATTTTTATACAAAATAGATTTTATATTCAAAAGACATCAAAAATTGCGCCAACCTTGCTTATAGAAAACAGCTGTTTTAGTGGTGGCACGAACAAAATATCGTTAAACATCGGTATTTTCCGGTATTTATTCTAAAAACGTTCGGGGCGAATGGTTTTTAATCGCATTTAAAAATCGCATTTAATTTAAATGCGGCATTTAGCCTTATGGGATTCCCTGTGTAAATAAATGCGCATTTGGCTAAATGCGTTTTAATGCGGCAATGGAATCAGGCTATTAGATATTTAAAAAAAAATTAAATTTTTCAACAAATAACTAGTCTTAAAATTTAAATATAATTATTTTGATATTGTTATACGTACCAGAAAGGAAGTAAACTTCGCAAGCCGATGTTTATATACCCTTGCTGTTTTTGCATAAATTTAATATTTTTTAAATCATATAAATCTAATAGCCTGATTCCATTGCCGCATTAAAACGCATTTAGCCAAATGCGCATTTATTTACACAGGGAATCCCATAAGGCTAAATGCCGCATTTAAAATAAATGCGATTTTTAAATGCGATTAAAAACCATTCGCCCCGAAAGTTTTTAGAAAAATACTGGAAAATACCGATGTTTAACGATATTTTGTTCGTGCCACCACTACAACAGCTGTTTTTATAAGCAAGGTTGGCGCAATTTTTGATTTTTTTTTAATATAAAATCTATTCCGTATAAAAATGACTGAAACCTAGAGCGCACGCTGCAAATTCTGCTCGCAGTACCACAATGCATTACTGCTGGATCTCTGGAATAAAATTACTCCCACATATACGGGGATCCTTGCCTTTTTAGAAACTGTGGTGGCCTTCATTGCAAACCCGTCATAACAACGCAATCAGCTTCTCTTCTTTGTCGTTCAAGTTGGCAAATGTCTCGGTCGCAATATGGATGTCCTGCTGAGCATTACAGAGTTTAGTAAACTCACTCATGTTCATTAATTTTAATTAATTTCTTTTGGATTTGCCAAAATTCAAAAGTAAACAAGCCCAGATCAGCTGTTCGTGCCACTCACATGTCGGAGTAGCATTAACTAAATGCTAATGCGCCAATGGAATCAGGCACATTTAAAAAGTCCACTAATGCGGCAATGGAATCAGGCTATAACACATTTAAAACATCAAAGCTATGATGATTTTCACCTTAATTATTCGATCGTTCGTATGGTAGCTATATGATATCGTTTTCCGAGCTAAATAAAATTAAATGTGTAAATCGAAACTATTATAACATTACTATGTCCAACAAAATTTAGAACAAAATTTTAAGTTACAATTTTATTTTTCATTTTTATTTTAAACTTGAATTGTTTTTATATAATAAAGTTGTCAAATGTTGATCAAATTTTAAATGTAAGTTCGATATAATAAAATATGACTAAATATCAGAGAATTTTAAAACATTAAAAATAATTAAAGTTATAATTTTTTTAATTTTATTTCCCAATGTCTCCTTCACTGCGTTGCAAACTTCTAACTGAAATTATAATACCCTCTGCAAAGGTATAAAAACCATTTTCTAATTTGCAGTATCAGTTAATAATGTATTTTTGCTTTTTCTGTTGTACAAATACAAATTTACTTATGGCATGGAAACCTTCCCAATCCGAATGACTTGTAGTTTATATTTTCGAAGGAAAAGTCTACTTGGTATAGTTTCTTACAATTTTTGATTCAATCGGATTTGTATCCAGACAAACAATAGTTAGAGACTTCTTATAAATTTAAGTATTTAAACGCAGGAAGTAAGTTATATTTTTTCATCAGAAATAAAATATTATTTGTCAAACTGAAATTAAAAGTCACACCCTTTTTGTCTATATAGCTGAAAATAAAATTTTTTTAGAAGTAAATTAAAAGCATATAAAATAATTGTTAAAATTTCATAAAGAAATAAAAAATCCATAAATAATCGCTTTAAAATAGTTTTTAATATTAATGCTGGCAATAATAACACGTTTTAAACCATTTTTTGTGGGATACAAGCAACAACCTTCAAATAAATTTCAAAGACTACCTCTCATACACAAATGAAAAATTTTATATTTTATTTTTATAATTATTTTATAGTTATATTCGCAATTTAAAACCTTGGCAAAGCCATTCTAGTTGGTTGCTTAGCCTGATATTTTTTCAAGGCATTTGCGATCAACTCAGTTTGTCTCATAACATTTGTAAGAATGTGGCACCCATTATATGAATAGCTTACCAAACCAAATAAAACGAACCGTTCTTTTTCCGAAATCATAACCCTTTGTCCCAATATGTCGCCAGGCTTTAAAAATGTATGGCTCATTCCAGAAGGAGTTTTCGCACAAATTTCATTCGTATTGATTGTCCTCAATGGACACTCAAGGGGATTAACAAATTCAACGTTAACAGCGGAAATTCGCACGTTGTCTAATACAAAAAGGGCCGAATTAGGTTCGCCATTACGTTGGAGTTGTATGTTTGAAAGCATACAGATTGGTTTTATTCCATCTGCGAAAGACAAAGTTTTGAAATCGGTTGGAGAAACCATAACAAAAAGGTTACCTGGTGGCGTCACAGGTCGATTAAGTTTTAGCAAAGCTATATCGTCTATGCTGTGCTTAAGGACTGAGTCAACTCTGTATTCACCATAGGACCGTCCTTTTCCGACTACATCAACTTCTCTGTGGAATAATTTTAAAAAACATTTCAAATTTCTTAAATGAATATATATCCTAAATCGATATCAACTTATCAAGCTATTGAAATCACTTACAGCGCAGCAGCGTTTTCCTGTAAGTCTCTGACAACTGTTATGACAAAACCTAAAAATGAACAGAGACTATTTAACCAAAAGCTTAAAAATTAAAAAAAAAATAATAATAAAATGTACTTCTACGGTCTGAATTTGTATACCCTTGCATCGGACGATTATATCATATAGCTCCCATACCAACAAAAAAAAATTGTTAAATGTAACTTTTCTATTTTCTATTTATTTTTTTTAATTCTTTTTGACTTGTTTATAATTTGACCGTTCAAATTTACACTTTTAATTTGATTAAAATCGGATAACTATATCATATAGCTGCCATAGGAACTATCGAATAATTAGCTTCATGTTTTTTTCACACATACGCAAGTAAATCATAATTTTAATGTTTTCAAGAATATATAGATTTTTGCTACAGCTGCAAGGGTAATGAACTTCGGCTTGCCGAAGTTTGCTTCCTATATTGTTAGTCTTACTTTAAACTTAAGACTTCGATATTAAATTAAAAATTGTTTAGATTAGTTTTTAATGTATAGATACGTACGGTCTGTGATCAGCACTCCCTGGGCCCTAAAAGTAAGTCCAAAAATTTCGGCCCGTAAAATTGATGCCATGGTTTCGCCCCCGCAGTCCCCATGCAACCACATGTCTTGAATTATTGCAGGCGGAAATTGATGTGGGTTTGTGAGCTGTGGCTTATTAGAATCATCATGGGCGTTTATGTTTTCCTGTATCCAGTCCACATAACTAGCCACATTGGTATACACTCCCGGTCCATTGCAAGTGTTTAGGCCAAAGCTTACGATACCGACCTGAGTTTCGCGGCCTATGCCATCAACGACCAGAGTGGTACTTAATGGACCTCCGGAATCGCCTTTGCAGGTGTCGCTGTTATAGGTAGCTGCACATATCTGGTCCGAACTGAGAGTCACACCCAAGCGACTTTTGCACTTGGTTTCATTTAAATGGTTAAGTGTGATTGTTTGAAGTATATCCGAATCCATGCCGTCACTTGTTACTCCCCAGCCAAAGGTTTTAAACCTTGCCGGAAGAGAACTCCTATTCTTATCCACAATTATACAGATCGGAAGAACACTGGCTGCAGAGAAATGCATTTTATAATGATAATGTTAATTAATAATAATATGTCAAAGATTTCACTTACCTTTGTACTCGACACTTTCTGATAATTTCAGCAAGCATATATCATGCTGATACTTGTGTATGGACCACAAACGGTGTACTATTGCAGCAGTGACTTCGTACTTAAGGAGAGGATCACTTTTGTTGTATGCTCCCAAACTTACAAATCTGTTTTCAATTCAAGTAATATTTTTATTTGATGGCTTTAAATATTTGCACTTACTAGTATGCGTACAAAGAGAAGTCAAATGTTAAACCGAAAAGAGCACGTACACAGAATTCAGAATTATTTCTACTCTCGACTGTTTAAATTTTAAAATCTTTAAATTACTTACAAATTTTCTTGTTTGTGCGTGCAATGGGCGGCAGTTAAAACAAAACCTAAAAAAAAACAGTGGCTTTTATAAATTATATCTGATGTTTTTGTATAAATATACGAACGATTGTGAATCAGCGTGCCTCCGCAAAGAAATTCGGTCTCATTTCTTATAGCTGTCATCCAAGCAGCGTATTCTTGATTTGCATTCTGTCCATTGACAACTTTGCCTACATTTAAATACCCACAATGATTATCCAAAAACAGTGAAGTTCCCAGATAGCAAGGAAAGCAAGTGAACAAAAATATGCAAGCTAAATAAGTCTGCATTTTAGAAGATTCAGGAAGGAAATGACTAAGAATTAGTGACTAGCTTTCAGCTTCGCACTCTCTTATCAGCTATTATTTTAATCTAATTTCACATTCCACAAATTTATATTTTTTTGTTGTAGCTATGTTGTGGTGTATGAAATTTTTTTAAATAAATGATTTATTTTCTATGTATGTAAGTTTATGACCATTTTAGTTTGTTCTAGTCGGAATATCCAATCGGCTTTAAAAGCGTTGTAACATATTTTATATTTTTGAGCGGTGTTTTCCAAAATTGATGTTTAAGAAATTTTAATTAAATTTTTTTTAAATTGATGCAAGATTATATGCAAAATACATACATATGTCGACAATATGCCAAGCTTGCTGTAAATAGATATATATTAATTTATGTATTTTATTTATCATAGTCGATATCAAGTGAGTTTAGGCTGTCTAATTGAAGCTTTTCCAAAAGTCTTCTTTCTGTTGCAGTTATTAAATAAGCCGGATCCGACGAATATATCATATATGAACGTATGCCGGATCAGATGAAAATATCTTTGTGGAACATAAAGTACTATTCTTTACTTTTCTTTATAAAAAGAGAAGAGTTAAAATAAATAGTTTTTGAGGAGTTGTAAAAATTCCATGACTTCAGATTATAAAGAAAATAACTCAAACCACAAAAAAAAAATTTAAGTCAGAATTCGTCAATCGGTCCGTTTAAAATCGTCAAAAATTTTAAAATCGGATGTAACAAGTTTAGGCTGATGTACTCGGCTGTAGGAACGATCGACTCATTATTAAGAATAATCTGTCCGAAAGAGCATTGCTTGATTGTTTTTGAATATAAATCGATTTATTCAATAAAATCTTTACAAAATTGAGCAATTTATACCAATATGTGTAATTTATACTAATCTTAAAAACAAAAATATTAGTGGATTGCGTCGAACAGTGGCTTAAAAATAGCTGTGCCCGCGCCACTCCGGCATCACTAGAAAAACCTATCGACTTGCAGGCCATTCGCTTACAGTTTCGATAACAACGATTCGCGTCTAACAGCACCACCGATTGGCGGCCAACAGCACGCTGCAGAAGCACGAGAGTCAGCCCAAGAGACCGGAGTTGCCGGACCGCGCCGCTAACATAGTAAATGTCCGAATAAAATACACACTTGGAAAAAGAGAGAAAAATTAGGGCCACTGGGAAGGCTGAAGTGTGCACACTTGGCAAGCAAATCGAAACGACAGCAAAAGCGACCGCCCACAATCCGCGCACGGAAAACCCGAGACTCGGCGACTTTGCAGGACGACAGAGGCAGAGACGATCCCGAAGGCAGGACAAATGGCGGAGAACGGACTGCGTGTGCCAGGGCCATCCGCGGTGGCTTCCTCGGTGGCTTCCACGGCGGCCGGTTCGGGGGCGGTTCGGCATCCGGATCCGCGGCCGGCGCCGGAGTGGTGGCCACCGGCAGCAGCGGCGGAACGAGCAACGGGGAGCACGAGAACGAACATAACGCCAATGCGGACAGCGAGAAGGCCCAGCCGGCGCCGGCGGTCCAGAAGTACATGCAGGAGCTCATGACGGAGCGGTCGCGCATGGAGAATCACTTCCCCCTGGCGGTGAAGCTGATCGACGAAGGTAATTGATTTGTCCGGGTCACTTCATGGCAATTATCACTACCACATTTCCCCCCTTTTGCGGCCTGCAGCTCTGGAGCGTGTGCAGCTGAACGGACGCATCCCAACGAGAGACCAGTACGCCGATGTCTACCAGCAGCGCACCATCAAGTTGTCCCAAAAGGTGCACGTGCCCATCAAGGACAAGAAGTTCAACTATGTGGGCAAGCTGCTCGGCCCTAAGGGCAACTCGCTGCGCCGCCTGCAGGAGGAGACGCAGTGCAAGATCGTCATACTTGGCCGCTTTTCGATGAAGGACCGCGCCCGCGAGGAGGAGCTGCGCAACTCTGCGGACGCCAAGTACGCCCACCTGAATCTTCCGCTGCATGTCGAGGTGTCCACCATAGCTCCGCCCGCCGAGGCGTACGCCCGTGTGGCCTACGCCCTGGCCGAGATTCGGCGATACCTCACGCCGGACAAGCACGACGACATACGCCAGGAGCAGTACCGCGAGCTCATGGAGGACCCTGAAGCGGCCAAAAAGCTGACGCTTCGCCAGCTGCAGCAGCAATCTAATGCAGCGGCCAGTGGTGGTGGCGGCGGAGGAGGAGGAGGCGGTGGTGGCGGCGGTGGAGGCGGTGTTGGTGGTGGTGGTGGAGGAAACGGAAATGGCGGAGCAGCTGGATCCGGCAGCAATAATGGCAATGGTAACCAGCGCTCTGGCGGCAATTACAGGTGGGTTGTGCAGTTGGACGTCCTCTATATGTCAAGCTAAATACCCCTTCCTTCGACAGACAAAAGTTTCAGCAACAATCACACTATCGCCACAACGAGGAGACTGTCTACTTTCGCTCACACAACAATGCGTACCACCAGCCAAAACCCTATGTGCCAGGTGAGTCCGGATGCACTGGGCCTATTATACCGAGCTTCGATACCATTCCCGTTCTTACAGCAGCCCAGCGGGGCAATGCCATGCACACCACCTTGCCACCACAGGCGATTGTGCGAGCCTCGCCACCCGGAATGGTCGTCAGTGCGGCCAGCTTCAATGGGCGGAATGCCGGGCTGGGCAATGCCGGCGGTGGCGGGATCATGGCCAATAGCATCGTGGCCACCACTGGCGGTGGTATCGGCGGCGCTGTGCCGCCCAATATGCGCTACCGTCCCGCTGCCCCCTATCAGTTTGTCAAGAAATAATACAGATGGGAGGATGCACCACCCGCTGCCGTTCGCTGTTTGTTCAACTATTCCTCACCATCATTAGCGCCTCATCAGGAAGTATTCACGCCCATCCGTCATGCCCATCCAAACACCCACAACCACAATCACATTAACATCCACATCCACACACTGCTCCAAAGGTAGATGTAGTAACTATGAGAACATTGGATACTTGTCATGCATTGATTTCACCAAGATTTCGGCAGGGTGGAAACCCAAACCAAAACGAAACGAATGAGTAAATGTATGTTTAAGAAAACTAGCATAAGTAGACGAATGCTCCGAGGATCAGACGAACACCCCCCCAACATGAACAACACCACCCAAGCAAACCAAACCAATCAACCGACCAGACAAACACCCACCACCCCACCACACACACACGCACGCAAGCACTCCTCGAGGATTGGGTTTTATAGGATCACGAGTGTCTGCGATCTGGGACTTCGGAATCCGTGTGTTGGGCCCCTGCGAGCATTTGGAACAGAGAGATCGAGAATAAAGAGAGAGAGAGAGAGAGGGAGACATGGAGAGAGGAGGAAAAGAACGCCTCGATGTTGGATCGGGCCGAATCGAATGGATTCATTCAGGGATGATCCCAGTCGAGCCAGATGTCCTTGTTTTGTTTTTTTCGTATATTATCATCAAGTTTATTTTACCACTGACGCATGCAAAGATTTCATCAATTTCTAATTTATATCAATGAATATATATATCTCCTTTATGTTTACACTTATACGTATTCGCCCCGCCGTCGCTTAATCCATTTGCTTTACCAACTCTGCGCTTAAGTTTATCCTATATATTGTTTTAATGCATTTTGTATTATGTTAACGTTTAGAAGAGGAGGCTTTTTATTTTTATTTGTTACGTCGCCAGGACAGAAAAACCAACTGCAAGAGATCATGAATAATATATAACAAGTACATATATACAAGCGATATGATTTATAACACATAGTGCATACGCAACAAACACACGATCACACGCGCGTACGTATATTCAAAGCATCAGCATATTCACGTAAAACTTTAAGGTTTAAACCAAATGAAGATTAGAAACGCAAACGAGAATCTACATACAACATAGATCGGCGCAGAAGCCCGATTTCGCCTACGATAATGCAACGGACATAGCAACCACATCCGATCAGAGAAGAATAAGCAAACACATGCAAACATAAACATACATAATTGTTATTGTTGTTAAAAGCAACTAAAATTGTAATAGAAATTATGCAAATATACATACGAATATGACGACAAATGTTAATTGCAGCCTAGTTATTATTTGTTTATCCACCCCACACCGGAACGAAACCTAAGATATATATATATATCGTATATTTAAAGAGTGCTGCCTGCATATCCGCATGCCCCACTGAGTTAGCCTTTGTTGACGATGCTTCTGAAGCCACAAAACACCCGATTTTGTATTGATTTCGAACATTGAAAACTGCATGTAAACCCCATTAACATATACATATGTGAAAGTACGAAACTATATATTTTACAGTGCATTATTATGTATTGCTGATTATCGTTAAATAAATTTCCAATTTGAATTAGCCATGTTTTCAAGTGCGCAAAGGAATAGAAAATCAACTGGGTAAATTTTAAATGAGATTTGTGGTAATTTCCTTACAAAGCTTAACAATCTTTTAATCAGTTAGAATCATCAGCTACTTATCATTTTGCGTTTGCAAGAATTTCAACCGTTTTGTGTTTAACAAATGAATTAACTTTATTGTCTAACGAATACAGGATATTCCACGCCCTACAAGGCCCTCACCAGTTGCATTAACGAGTAGGGATTCTTGTTGCTCATGAACTTCAGCTGCTCCTCAAATCCCTGCGGCGTCTTATTGATCCAGTGGCGGTCGAGATAGTAGTTGATGTAGCTGTGGAACTCCTTGTCCGTGTAGTTCTCCACGTGGACGGGCACGAAGGGATCCAGGTGCTCGAAGCCCGCCTGGCCGAGCAGATAGCGCGGCATATAGGAGTCCATGTGGCCCTCGGTCATGGCGATCTTGTCCACGGACAGGATGCACACTCCGTTCGTCCAGTCGTAGTTGGTGATGTCGAGGAAGGGCTGGGTGAGCGTGATCCGATCCGGAGTCACGCGCTGCTTGTTGTCGGAGAAAATGCGGGTCACCGGGTGGAAGAAGGCATTGAAGCCATCGATGGCCACCATCACCTTGCACTGGCCAGCGGTGGAGAGCTGTTTGAGTTCCGCAATGAGCGCCGCCGTGGTCTCTGAGGCGTACTTAATGCGTGCTATCCCGTGCTCCACCAGCTCGATGAGCGTGGAGCCGGCCGGTGTGCTCTCGCGTTTGCTCCACACGTACTCCTTGCTGGTCTTCAGCTGCAGTCGCTGGAGCAACTGGCCGTTCTGGGCCTTGAAGTGCACCAACCAGGCGGCGGCGTCGAAGGGCAGGTCAATCATACCCTCCTGGCCGGCCGCGTTAGAAGACTCCTTGGGTCGCTTCATCCAGTTCGGGGCCCAGGGCACATGGACCAGCAGGAAGTCGTTGAGGGCTCCGTAGTGCAGCACATGGGCCATTGTAAGGGTTTTGCCAGTGCCATTTTCTCCGTACAGCACATACCGCACCACTGGCTTGCTCAGGTCGCTGGCCTTAATGTACTGCAGCAGCTCCAGGGCAGGATTCCGGACCATCAGACAGGCCTCCGTGAAGGTCTTGATCTGCTGCTCGTACTGCTTGGGCAGGCCGCCGCCGGCAAAGATCTGCTTCTTCTGCTCTGCAGGAATGGTGTAGAATTTGGCCACCTGCAGTGCTGAGTGCTCGCCGGGATCGGTGACTGCTGTCCGGAACTCATTGATGACTGCTCCCTCCTCCGGAGCAGCGGCGGCATTCGTGGACATCATCTGGACATGACGCTGCAACTGGGCGGAGACGCGCGACAAGTTGCCAAAGCGATTTCGGATCATTTTCATTGAGAAATCCTCGAATACTTGTTAAATAAGACCTGCAGCTGAGAGCTGAGAACATATGGCGGGTATCGACACTCGGTGGATATCGATAATGAACCAGGGGTGGCAAAGCCAAAAAATAATCGATAAGCTCGCCACTGAAAATGGTCAATTAAATTAACAGTTGCTTAATTCAAAGTTTAAAACATTGCTTCTGCTATTGAATAAAAATCAGAACAAATAACCAGAAATAAAAAGAGAATTAAAACGTCTTGGGTGTCGTTATCGAAAAAAAATTGAAAAATGATTTTAATATATTGATAAAGAAGATTGAAATCAAATATAATTAATACCATCTTTATGTAGGCTTCTTTTTAATTTTATTATTAAACAAATTATTATTATTATTAGGAAACAATTCAAAACAGTAGCTAAAAACTTTATGTTTATACCCTCGCAGAGGGTATTAGTACATATTTCAGTCAAAAGTTTGCAACGCAGTGAAGGAGACATTTCCGAACCTATTGAGTAAATAAATTCTTGATCAGCATCACTAGGAGACGGTACGAAAACTAAGACATTTTAATCAAATTATAAATATTTATTAGTGACTCTCTTTTTCCTGTTATTTTTTTTAACTGTCATAATGAACTAGAAATTAGTTTATTCTGATGGTCTGATCTTTTGGCCAGAGTTATCGCTGCTGAGACTATCGGCATCCAGCTCGGCGGGTACTTCCTGCCTATAACTCTGTCGGATTAACCTGTTCAGCTCGTCCCTCTTGGTGCGCTTAAAGAATCCAAGCTAAAGGTTACATGGTATTAATAAAATTAGAAATCCTTCTCTGATGTTCCTTATACGAACCTTGTAAAGAGCATAGGTTATAACCGATAGGAGCAGCAGACCACCAATTAGGGATAAACTTATATTCCAGACAGGCAGCTCCGGCTCCAGATGCTTGAAAATCTCATTTGGTTTGAACTTCCGGTTAATCACAAACGTACTGGATGCGGGATCGCCCTTTTTAAGCAGCTGCAGATCGGTTAGGATGACAAAGTACTCCTCGGCTCTTTTAACTTCACTAAGGTCCACGTCGAAGCTTATGTTCAGGGAAATAGGTTTATCCGGCCTAAATTGGACGCTCAAATCGGCTCGAAGGCAGATCGTCATATTAGTATCCTGGCAGTTGAATACAATGGTGCGATTCACCGGCAGATCGATTTGTTCTTGGTCGGAGGTCAATCCATTGAGATCTCTACGATGTCGGATCGTGACAGGGTCATAGTCCTGTTCACTCTGGGTGGAGTTTTCCATGGAGAACCCTTTGTGGTCGAAAAGTTTGATGGGCCACAGTCGGGAATCGTAGGTGGCCTGAATGTTCAGGCTGCTCTTGTTAATGATGGGTACAACTGCTGTGGAGTCAACCGCCTTATAGGCTACAGGAATATAAAAGGACAGCGTCAATTGTTCAATAACACTCGGACCGCGACTTTTGATCTCGTAATGGTTGATGATTTCCGCCGAGTAAGGGAAATGCTTGAGAACAACTTGATCGTTAATCTGACCTCTGGGAAATAGCAAGGATTTAAGTCGGATTTGCCGGTTGCTACTACAGTTACTTTTATTGAATCTTACCCGCTGGCATCGATCTCGGTGAACTCCTTAAGTCCGATCACGTTGGTCTGTTTGTTGTCCGTGAGATTACGCTCGTTTCCGGCACTGAACACTTCTGCATCGATGGTCAGCGACTCTCCACTGAGTTGGCTCACATCGAAGCTGATGGTGACGGAGTCGCTGTCACCTTTGGCCAGCGGTCCTCCTCGATTCAGATCGCACACCATAACTGCATTAGAAACCCTGCAGTTTCCAGGAACCTGAGCGAAGGGCAATTGGGGTGTGCTGGACACGTTGAATTGGGGCAGGTAGGCGGTCTCTCCGTTGTTGGTAATCTCGTAGTCCAGATGAAGGCTAGCGTCACTGCCCAAAACATAAGTGGGCCTGGGGAAATCGAAACAAGAATCAGTTATAGCTCTCATAAAAATCAAATGATAAAAATAAATGCTAACAGTGATTGAAAGGAGCTGAAGCTCGTAGGATATACCAGATATGTGGTTTAATATTTTGGGGTTTTTTTTACATATGTAAATAAATATATATATATTATTCTTTTGATTTTATTTGACTTATGTAAGAAATCAGGAATAATTTAAATATAATTTTCCGTGGGAACAAATGAAAAGTGGATAGGTTTGAGGATGATTTGAAGGATGCTGTGCTGTGTGAGGTAAGGGCACAACAAGAGCTAATGATGTGTTGGCCAACTTGGTTTGACCAAGTCCTTATCTATTTATTAATACCTGAATTCATATATTTATGTTGGGTTTTGGTAGAAGTGGTAAGGGATCTTATTAGGGGGATGATTATTCAAGAAGGTATTTGAGTTGATTTCTTAAATACTGTTTAGATTCGTGGGTGATATCTTTGAAGATGTTGTTAGGGTTGTAAATAAAGGGTGATTTAAGTGATAGTTTGGAAAATGAGTCAGCAGTTTCGTTTCCTTTGATAGTAATTCAGAATAATTTAATGGGAAGTGTTTGGCTAAAAGGTTTATGAAAGGTTTATATAATATGAGTTTTTATTGTAGTTGGTATGGAAGCCAAGGGAGGAGAGGGAGTTGGAGCTGATCACGTGTTTATCGCTTGTTTGTAATACATATTAGTCATATATGTACTGATATATTACTGTGACATACTTCACATTCTTGCTCCTTATCTGGAGATCAGCGACACAAACATCGGAGGCACAGTCCGTGCTAATGGTTATCCTCTCCGTGGAAACCTTTGAGTCCGCCGGATCAACCACAGCACAGGTTTTACAGAACTCTGTTGAACGAGCTGTTTAATAATTTATGTATTAAAAACTTAAATTTCCATCTCACCCCCAGAAACGGGAACCTTCTTGGCCAGTTCGTAGTGCATCTGCAGATCAATGGACGTATACATTTCACCGCCGTAGCGCACATTAATGTCGAAATGCTGGCAGCTCTCTTCGAGACCTGCATTCACCTTCAAGATCATCCTATTGCTCTGCGTTCGGGCAAACTTAACCCACTTCAGTTGCGTTTCGATCGATATCCGGATGTCCAGTTGCTGCTGCTCCACATCCTTTGCCTCTGCCGAAGTGCTCAGTCTGTAGCAGGCGGTTATCTTGACCTCTTCCTGCTCCGATTTTATCTCTCGAGATTCCGACTTTATTGTCGCATGTACTTTCACGACGGGATAGGCGCGATAAAGATATAATGCCTCGGCATTGGGAGCTCCTATGGCGAAGTCGTTGAATCCATTGCCATCTATGTCCGATCCGCGGGAGAGGCCGTGACCGAACATGTGTGCTCCGTACTGGGAAGGTTGTTCGTTAGGAGCATCCAGTCGTTGGCTCGGCTTATCCCTTAATCCATGGGCGCTGCCCAAGTATATGAACACCGATCCATTCCCGGCAAAGGGAGCTCCAACGGCCACGTCTAAAAAAATGAGGACAGTATTAATGGTCTCTCATGAAAATATTTAAAAAGCAACTCAAGAAGTCAAAGTATGGGTTATCAAGTTCCGTTTTTGTTTGCAAATTTCAAAATGTGTTATCAACCCCCAGTCATAAAATAACCCACCATTATATCCATCCTTATTGATATCGCCCAAACGCGAAAGAGTAGTTCCGAACCGGGCCTTGCTGCCCAGTGGTGGCCGCACAATCGTAGGCTCTGAGTTGAACTTCAATGCAATGATAAGGAGAAATTTAAAATATATTTAGTTCTGCTTGGGAACTCCATTACTCACTAAGCCGTTGTTGATAAACATATAGATGGCACCAGTGTCGTAGGAATGTTCAAAGGCGTGCAGCGGCGCTGAGACTATCAAGTCCGTTTTTCCATCTCCATTGAGATCTTCCGCCAGAAGGGAGTAGCCGAAGTACTCGCCAAACTGCTTACCCCGCAACCTTCGCAACGTGCGGATGATCCTTCCTCGAAAATCGAAGATATATGCCTCGCCGGATAGATGGTTGGCCCTGGGAGCCGAGGCCACGTAGAGCAGGGTGGATGGGTTAGCGCTGTCAAAATATCCGGAGGCAACGGCATAGCCAAAGTACGTGTTATCCCTTTGACGCCAGGGCTCGAAGATCTGGGCGTCTTGCTGGTAGAAGATGACCGATCCCTTCCAATTACGAACACCTGGGGCTCCGATTAGGAACTTGGAGCTATTATTATCATCCGCCACATGAGCACTGTGCCCCAACTCGCCCGCATAGTATCGCTGCGCATTGGTATCGCTGTTCACCTGCTTAGATTTTAGGCGGAATGGAGAAATGCGGGTCACGTTCTCGGGGGATTCGGCCACAGTGTTCGGTACCCATAAACAGACTCCGTGCAGGAGGTAATTGTTGGGAGTGGGAGTGTAGAATCGGGGGGCACACACGAGGAGCTTGTCCGTATCCCGGGTGCCACCGTCCATCGATCCACCTAGCCACTGGAAATCCTTACGGTCCGAGTCCCATGTGATTCCTTGGTCAGATGCATTGAAATTTCCTCGAGGATCCAGGACATAAGGAGTGCAGGAACCGCTTGACAGGGAGCATCTGTATATCGCCCCCGTCTCGTTGATCGTCTTCTGCGACTCCAAGACGGATTGAGCCCGGGGAGCTCCGACTATGATGCTGCGATGAGGAAAAATATATAGATAAGAACTTGTAAATTACGTATCACTTACTGCTACCCATAGTAACCTACACTACGACTTTTTCATACCCTCTTCAAAATTATGCCTGAGGACAGCAAATGAATGGCAGTGACTAAGAAAGTCAAAGTTATTGCATTGGCTGATCAAAACGTTTCTTTGCGTAAACTATATTTAATGATATCCATGAGCTATGATTAACTAGTTTTACAAATATAGCAGCTAGAATTTGTTCTGGTTAATTTAAAAAAAGCACAAAAATAAAATCCAATGAAAGGATTTTATATGCAGATAATCCGAAATCCAAAAATGTTCCATCACATCCCAGTTTTTAGGAAATCGTAAAGTATAAAAATTTGTCTTCCAGAACCTTTTTAAGGCTTAATTACCCAGGCCCAGAGCTGTAGTTTAGTTTAAACCATACTTTTTTGTCACTGTGTGGCTAAAGGCGATAAAAAGTTCATGTTTTTTCGACCTGTGTTGTTAAACTTACCTGGTGGGACGGATGACGAGCGAGTATCCAAAGTAGGAGCTTCGCGTTTGGTTTAAGTGGGTTTTCAAATGTTTTGGAAAATTTATCACCAGGTTCGGATAAGGCGAAAAATTAAAAGCTTCACTTTGGTATTTCAATGCAAGAAAAACGACCAAAAATATGCGACTCATTTTTTAATTAACTTTAAATATGAAAAGATTAAAGGTCCGCGCCGGACTGAGGTTCTCACAACAACTCGAATGGAAATAAAATGAAATTCGATGTTGGAGAGCTCTTCGCATGTCTGGACTTTGTGATGCATTTATTCCAGATTAAATGTGTTGTATATATTTTTCTTTTATGTACATCCGACATGCCAAATAATTTCGACAACCATTGAGAAAGAATTTTAAATTTGATAAATTTACCAAAAAACCATGAAGATAACATTATTGTATTATTGTTTTCATGTGAAAATATGGAGCAATGTACATTTTATATTGTATATTAAAGATAATTCATCGCTAAAAAGCAAAAGATTAAAGTACAGGAAATTAAAAACGAAATGAAACATCCGAAACGCCTATTATGAGCTGAAATTCATTCAGGAGTTTGGCCAACGTTGTCCGGCATTGGAACATTATCCAGTCCCATGTTTAGAAGATGAAGATCAACCGGCTGATACCGCAGAAATGACATTGACCAGGTTAAAGTAGAAGAACCAAGTACCAGTCCAACTTTGTGTTTATTATTATGATGCACTCCTGGTACTTTAATGCCTGGTAATTGGCCAAAATTACCAGCTGCAAAAAGAACTTCCGCAACGATAGTTTCAAATCGGTTATACAGAAAGTAGTCGGTGCATCAAAGGTTTTAAAACATTAATAATACGAATCAATTTTGTTATCGATCTATGTATGTAGTCATCAAATCAATTAGAGAAATAGGCATTTGGCCGCACAGGTGTCGTTTCATACAATGATTGGTTTAGTCTTCAGAAACGTGCAATATGTGTAGATCGTGGCTGCTGCCAATTTTCCTGTCTGTCCAAGTTATATGCTATTCCATTCAATTTGGCATAATGCACTCTCTATCAGTTCCTATTTATGAAATTGAAATACCCTCGAATAAGTGTGGTGACTATGTAGATGTGGAGTACAAACAAAAGGTATTTTTAAAATAAATGATATAATTTTTATATTCTAAGGTATTTACAAGTATGCAGGCTAACCTGGTATTCCATATAAACCTAATTTTGGTCATCGATGAAAGTCAAATTGAGTGGAAGGGCCAGGCATACATTCTTAGTGGCGGCATCGGCTACAACTTCACCACCTTAAGATTAAAATATATCCAGCCAGAGGTAGCGAAAGTCAATGTGCTCATCTACGGGATACCCAGGTTGGAGCTTTAGTCACTAATATACCTATATATTCTAAACACTAATCAGTCTTTGTCTTTGCTGTTCTTAGTGGCACTCCAGTGGTATCCGTCATCCGGCAGATCGCTGCGAATCAGTGGAGATAGCCAGGCTATATGCATGCGGTCTCCAAAGACACTTCTCAGATTTTGGTAGACTCCTCTGTTGTACTTTTGCTTGCGTTCTGGTGTGCGATCGGCGGAAACCCCGCCTCTCAAGACGATGGGCACGTGGTAGCCCAGGAGGAGGACCCCATAAGCCAGGGCTAAGACATTCAAGCTGTAGAAGAGCAAGTACATGTTGCTCCAGAAACTGCCCGTCACCAGGAGCAGCATGGGGCAGGTCAGCTTGAGCAGCGTTAGCCAGTTGCAGTAGATGTGGCCCTGGATGATCCACATGTAAATGGAATTGTAGACCAGGGCGTAAACCGCTCCCACAAATAGGTAGAATATGAAGCCCATGAAGAAGCGATGGTTCCTCAGTCCAATGCAGCAGCCCGTGTAGAGGCAGTGGTGATCCCGCTTCAGAACGCAAACCTTGCAGATCTTACAGTGCCATGATCTGGGTGGAGCCAGCCGCTGGCACTCGCTGCACTCCCGCCAATCCAGATGATCCGGCGGTGGTTCCACCTTTTTCACTACAGCGGGGTAATGCACTTTATTGGATTTATCTTTACATCATTTACTCACCCTCAACACTGGTATCGATCATCATGCAGGCAATCATGTTTCCCTTGATATTGAACACCAGGAACATGGCCATCAGGAACGTGAAAGTGTGGAAGAAGCCGCCGGGCTCATGGAAAGCGGGCAGCACCACCACAATCTCGAAGAGGAACACCACCGGCAGAAAGACTGCAATAATCAGAAAGCACAAGACATCCACCAGCCGGCGGGGCAGTGGGTTGCTGCGGATTCTCATGATCCCCGATCTGTGTGTCTAAGGTAAACAAATGCCGTCCGATCGCCGAGATGCGAGAAAGAGAAATAAAGTAGCACATACTAAGTAACCGGTTCGCTGTGACATCACGTGCGGTTGAGCTTTCGTTTCGCAAGCTTTTGGGGGGGAAAAGCTAACAAAGCCACGGCGAAAAGCTTACGAATTCGATTGTTGCGGCGAAAAGTTTAAACTGCACTCGATTAAGTGGTTTTTTTATAGCCCTCCTCTCCCCTACCTTCAGTTCAATATAATTTGATAAATTCTGAAGCCAAGCGAGTTCAATATAATTTGATAAACTCTAAAGCTAACCGAGTTAAAGTTTGATATCAGACGCTTGGTGGCGTAAAACGGTGCCAACACACTTATCTTATCAACCCCGGGCCACATGTCGTATGCTTGATGGCATGTAACATACATATGTTGTATTGTACATATAGGAGTATAAATGCCAACGGCAGGGGCCACATTGAGAATTTAATTAACTTGAAAGGATTGCCTCCGTCACAAATCACAGTAATCAAGGTAAAGCCTTAATTACATGGGTCTTTAATACGTGCGCTGACATCTGATTGATTGCATTATCAAGTATTTATGGTGGTGTCAAGGGTCATTAAGTAAACAGTTGAAAATGGAACTCGCGGTGCCAGGCAGACCGGACAGGCAGGGATCCTCGGTATTTCTTTTCAAGAGCTTTGTCAGGAGTCTGCGGCAGTTCCTCAACGAGACGGGTCTGCATGGTCTTAAATTTGTGGGGGACAGCAATCTCAGCAGTTGGGAGAGGTAACAATCTCTGGAGAAAGTAATAAGACCAGCACAGATATTAAATATCAAATAGTTAAAAAAAAACAACTAACATTTTAGAACCGAAAACTTATTCTTTCCGAATTAACTTCCACGTTTCAGATCGTTTTTCTTTGGCTCCTTTGTAACTGCTCTCATAATCACAGTTCACCTTATATCGAACATCTATGTCAAGTGGAATAGCACTCCGGTGATAATTGGCATCAGCCCACAAGCCACCTCCATTTTAAAGGTACCCTTTCCGGCTATAACCATATGCAATATGAACCAAGTGCTAAGGAGTCGAGTGGCCAATTACAGAGAGTGAGTCCTTTTTTTTCTATTCATAAAAGTATCAATCAATCCATCATATTGAAATGAAATTAATTTTCCAGAGGGTCCAATGAGAGCGCCCTTTTAAAGTTCTTGTGTGACTCCGAAGGCTGGCAGTCCCAAGAGCTTGATGTAGAGCCTTCCGCTTCAAATTTCGCCAGGAACGACTTGAAAATGTCCGACTTTGTCTTAAATCATTCGCAGTCCTGCGAGAGAATGTTGCTCTTTTGCAAATTCAGTGCCATACAGCGAAATTGTTCGCATCTGTTTCAGCCGATCCTGACGGATGAGGGCCTGTGCTGCGTCTTTAACTTTCAGCCGCTTGAAAATCTCGTCAAGCCTTAGTAAATACAAAATTTGGCTTTAACAACAAAAACATTTTAAGCTATCCACTTGTTTTGTTTAAACAGTACCAATCGCCGTAGAAATTTGACGACAGAAGATGGTTTTGAAAGTGTCAAGTGGGATCCAGAAGCAGGCTATCCCGAAACATTACCCCACAAATTTTATCCATCCACATCAAGTGGTAGGCAAACGAATGATCTGTTTGTGGATGGGAAGCAAGAGAAACTTGTTTATAATATATTGCAGGAACTGGTATTAGTTTGGGATTTACTGCTGTACTAGATGCTGAAATGAACGAATACTACTGCTCATCAACTAATGGACCGGGTTTCAAGGCAAGTGTGCTATCGCGATTTATATAAAATTGTGATAATCATTGGCGCCACGGAAATTGCTAATTTTGACTTTGACTTGGAAAAAAGTGTCTTAGAGTATGCATCAATATATTTTGTGTTCAAAAGTCAATGCGATTAAATTCAAAAGACGTAGTTCTTTTTTCATTGCATACTTTTAGACCCCATTTTAAATCACTTTGAAACCCGAGTAAAACCTTAACTATGTCTGTAGTTCTGATAAGTTTTTTGAAACAATTAAAATTACCTCCAACTTGTTATGAAATCGATATGTTTTCGTTTTCAGGTTTACTTTCACAATCCCGTTGAGGTGCCCATGGTGAAGGAGGCGGGACTGATCACAGCCATTGGCTACGAGACCAATTACCGCATTGAGATGGTTCGAGCCGAGGCAGTGCCTGCCATTCGTTCGATTTCCCGCGATGGCCGGCAGTGTCTGTTCAAGAACGAAAAGGAGCTGATCTACTACAGAATCTACACGCGGCTCAACTGTGAGAACGAGTGCGTGGCCGCCTATCTGTACGAGACCTGTTCCTGCATCCCGTTCGAGTATCCGCAGATCTACAGCAATGCCACCACCTGCAGCATGCGGGACACCATCTGCGTGCGGCGGGCTCAAAGGGCGGAAAACCGGCCAAGTTGGGTCAAGTGCCGCCAACAGTGCCTGCCCAGTTGTTTCGACCTAAACTATCTGGCCAGTGGCTTCTCCTTCCCGCTGGCCTCCAACAACTTCCAGCTGGCCAACGCGCTGGTCGAGGGCATCAACAAGTCCTATCTGAGCGAGAATATAGCCGTGATTAATGTCTATTATCGGGAGTCCGTCTACCACGGAAACACCAAGAATGCCTATGTGGGATTGACCGAGTTTCTATGTGAGTAAATCAGCTCTACTTCTCAGGGAAACTAATGTTTAACATTTGTATTTTTCTATTCCAGCCAATGTGGGTGGTGTAATGGGCCTGTTTATGGGTTTCAGCGTCATCTCTTTGGCAGAAATCTTCTATTTTTTGATCTTAAAACCGCTGGCAGAGCTGTTCGTTTGGAAAAGGTCTTCCGATGTAGACTCGGAAAACAGCCTTAAACATAATGCATTTGG